TTTCCCTTTGGGACAGTGACTGTGCTTGGCTGGACTTTCAACACTTTAGGAAATGCAGATGAATCAGCTCATCCCCTAATTTTGGTGCATGGCTGCTGGGGAAAGGAAACAAGTAGCCTTTTCAATACATAACCCGAATGCACATAAATGGGATTCTCGACGCACCTCTGTCAGCAGAAATTCAGCTCAGGGGAGTTAGGATAAATGTTTGTGTTTGGTACAAGAGCATGTACCTTTTTAAACAAGTTTATTTCTGTACCAGCTCATTTTTCTATTGGATTGTATCATGCAATACACTGGAAAGTTTATACTTTTCACAAGCTTTATGGGTTAAGAAACATTCTTTCACATGTACTTTTCTGCATAATCCACGTAAAGGAGAAGGTAAGGTTTATGACTGTAATAATGCTATAAATGTAACACTTTGCCACTCTTTTGTGCCTGTCATCTAATGATTTCAAAGTTTTTGACAAATATTAATGAATGTAGCCTCACAAATTTCCTACAAGATAGATAAGTAGATGATCTTGTATGAGAGGTGGGGAAGCTGAGGCAGGGATTAAGTAACTTGACCAGGATCTGACAGGATGTCTGATAGTTGGAATATGATTTTTTTCTGTAGCTACTCTAGATGGGAAGATTTGCACCCTGTTTTACCTTGATGAATAGCATATCACCATCATAATCTTTCTAATATATATAATCTCGCTGTTGGTGCTGATTTCTGTTGGAGATTCAGGAGAGGAATGGGGCAGAGTGGTGAGTTGCATAATCAGTGCTCGGAGGACCCCTGGTGATGGAGGTTTGATGATGGATTGTGCAGCAGATACTGTAAGAGGAGGTTAGTGGGAGTGAGGCAGGTGAAGCTGATGGAAGATTGAGTGGGGAGGTTTTAGAGAATTAGAATAAAGTGAGCGGAGATACACATGACATGACTATTACAAATCATTTTCAGGCACTGGGTGAGCAGGAGGGATTTTAGAAGGTGGGATGATGGTGTCTGTGCGAGGCTCACTGAAATTAAGAGATTAACCCACAAATCGATGGATGGTAGAAATAGCTGACTGCAGCTGAGAAAAAATAGTATCCAGGAAATGTTGAGTTCTGCAGTGTAAGAATGGCACAAAGTACATCCACATCCATGCAGTGGCCAAGAAGAGGTCTGAAATCAGGCATTGTCGCAGATGGACAGGATAGGGACACATGGTTCTTCGTGTAGCACAACAGATTTGGTTAGCTAAGAGAATGAGGAGCTCATAATACCAGGTGGTCACAAGGAAGCCGATAATTGGGATGGGAGAAATACAAAAGACTGGAATAATTACTTAATTACTAATAGGCAGGGGAAGCCCTGGACAAGAGTTCCTGAGAACCAATTGTCCTAGGCTGCTGCCACATGGAGAGGCAGCACACAAGTTCTGTGTGGTTAGAGTTTCACATATCAGAATGAGAAGACCACGTAGAAAAGAATAGTAAGCTATAACAAAAGGAAAAACTATGTAGCACTTTAAAGACTAACAAGATGGTTTAATAGGTGATGAACATTCGTGGGCCATCTTGTTAGTCTTTAAAGTGCTACATAGTTTTTCCTTTTGTTATAGAAAAGAATGTCATAGATTACTATAGGCAGTGTTTCCATAGCTGTGTCAGCCCCAGGATAATAGAGAGACAAAGAGGGTGAGGTAACATCTTTTATTGGACCAACTTCTATTGGTGAGAGAGACAAGCTAACTTGTTTCTTCCACCAAAAGAAGTTGGCCCAATAAAAGGTATCACCTCCCCCACAGTCTCTCTCTAATTGATTATTCTAGTAAATTTGCTCTAAAAATAGATAACGGATTCCTAAAAATATACCTGAACATACGAAAGATTTTAGATCACCTGACTTTTCTGATTTGCTTTTTGATTTGAGGGACCCAAGAGAAGCAGCCAGGAAATTGCAGGGCTAATAGCTATCATTTTCACAAATCACTAACATCGGGAGTGGTATCAGAAGACTGACAAAGAGCGAATGTAATTCTGATCTTAAATAAGGGCGAAAAGAACAATTCTGGAAACCACCATACAATTCGCTTCACTTCAATAAAGGGTGCAATACAACAGCAAACAACCATGCAGCTGATCAGTTAGTATTTCACTGATAATACCACTAGGGACAATTAGAAGCATACATTTTTGGAAAACTGATCATTCCAGGAAAATTTGTATTCTTCACTCATGTTTAGGGCCAACTTTGCTACACCGAAGAGGGTAAGGGGAAAAGTGTTTTTACTTCACTTTTTTTGCCCATCAGTTCTGGGGGCTGCTGTGGCCACATCACCCATTGACACAAATTAGAGCTCTCTCAGGCTTTGGATAATTATTATAAAAAAATAATTGGAATCAATATGATTGAACTGTCATTACTTTGGGAACTAGAGCCTCTCCTTCCTGTACCAGTGATAAGGAAAAGGGGATGAGATGTACCTGGAGCTTCAGTAGTAGGATATGGATTCTTCTCTTCATTTTCATTGGGCTGATAATCATCCACGTTGATCTGATAAAGACATAGAAAAAGCCCTGGTCAGACAGTGCCCTGACTTTTTGTTCCCTCAGAAATCCGAACTGTTTACAGCACATTGAGTGGGAGGAGACAGCAGACCTTGGTAGTAGGTGGGGACTCCCCATCAGCAGTGATCGATTTCAGCTCAATTTTCTCCTCCTTTGTCTCTTCCTCCACAGCTGGTTTCTCAATCTCCTTTTTCTTTTCAGGACTAGCAGTCCTAACAATTCAACAGGATTAAAAGCAAACATTTACTAAGGGGGTTCCCTTCCAGAAATTCAGTGTAGTGACAACATGACAATAATCAGCTGGCATCTCCATTCTGCATAGATGCCCGCAGGCTTTTCATTCTGATTGGCTTGAAAGGCAACGTCAATGAATGTACCTGCAGAACTTTCTTAGGGATGTACGCACTCATCGCTCCCTCTCTGTGTACATGTACGCATACCTAGAGATCTGATTACAGACCTTCTCTACACTCACCCAACTCCCACCCCTCACATACACAAGACACATAGTTTTCAAGCTCTACACTAGGATCCTGGTGCTACACTAGGATCTTAGCTCTACACTAGGATTATGCTGCCTGCAGATTTTCCTCAGAATGGCTCCCAATTTCATGCCAGCTGTCTGATGGCCTTTGTTGGCTATTCGTGCTCTGCTTGCTATGCCAACCCTTAGGCAGGGCAAACAGAGCCCTGATCATAGGAATACTCTGCCAGCTGAAAAGATGTCCTGCAGAATGATCAGTGTATCAGAGCAAGTCCCTTCTCCAGGCAGCCAGGACAAAGTTAGGGGGACAAGGAGAAGGAACGAGACATTAAGCTTCTCCACTGCCAACAGTGAGGAAAGAAAGAGAAAGTCGGAATGAAGTTTCACCCTTACCAGGAGTCCCTAGGAGCACCCCAGGAACTGGGATGAAGAATGGGGGATGTAGGGTCAGAGGTGAAAAAGCAGATGAATCTTTGGTCTTGGGAAGTAAGAGCTGAAAGTGCCTCTGATAAACATCAACTGTTAGAGGTGGGGCGGGGATCAGAAAACACCGGGGGAGCTCACACAAGGTCATTGTGTTGTTATCACTTCCTACTTCTCCTCCTCCAATGTCATATTTACTGCACAAGCCCATGGCCCTGCATGCCTCCTCTCTGGTTACAGTGTTCCAGCCATGGGAGGTACCAATGGGCTTTAAACTATACAACCAGAGGCTAGGAATGATGCAGCCCCTTTCACTGAACATCACCGCCACAATGCTTCCAGCACAGATAGTTCAAGGAACAACGAGCTCACGTTCTCCCCCATCCTCCCCCCGATAGCTGGTTCCCCGCACAGCAGTGCAACTCGGTAACCCTAAAGCCTTCCTTTTGCTCCCGCATTCCAACCACTTCCGTTTTTAAAATAACGTAGATGGGCTTACCTAGCCAGTTTTTTTCTTTCTTTTTCCTCTTCCTCTTCTTTCTGAGCAGATGTCAAACTCTCAGCATCAGCAAGATT